GACACAATTAGTGGACCTATTTTCCTGGTATAATTTTTAATGAATACAATTTTTTTTTCTTTTAGTATAATCTAAAATCTCTCTTTAAATTGGCGGGGTGGCAGAGTCTTGGGAATCTTTAGACGGATGGCTTGATGCCATTCGACTAGTTTACACCATTTTTGCACGGGGTAAGAGCGATGTTTTGGCCGGTATAATAACTGCCTAATCTTTTTTGTATCTGTAAATTATGAGCTTGACACTGCAAATATTCTTTTTTGTTTCTAAGCAAGAATTTGTTGCTCATGTCATGTAGTAGACTTGTATATTAGTCAATTATTTTGCTATAAAATCACGCAAGGTTTTATAGGACTCTCTTTCAGTACCATATAGTTGAAAGTTGATTATACGAATGCTCAAAATTCTCTCGTGCCGTAATTTATTTTTGGCGTTTTTATGGGCTTTTATGTTGATTATACACTAAACGAACGCTATAAAATTTATTCCCGGAGTTGCGTTGTGATGGGTGTACAATGATGGGCATTTAATATCTATCAAGGTGGTTTTCTAGCTGCTACACCATGTGAAATATTTAATTTCACACTGTAGAGTTGCAAACAATCACTATCAATACAATGTGTAATGGTGAGAATTTGAGATTTTACTCTTCATTGTTTTCCATCATGACAAAAAGATATATGAGGATAATTATTTTGGGACGGAAGTAGCCCTAATGGAAGAAAAATGAAGTATTATGAAGATTATCACATTAGTCTCTACGTTTCCTATAGTTATGGATCGTAGAGTTGAACTTAGAAATTTACAAGTTACAATCAAAAGATACTATCCAGCATGCCCCAACCGCATTTAGTCTTGATGAAAAAACATGCGGAAGTTGAATAATTATTGTATTTCACGTATAAAAAGAATTTAGGTGTCGACACTAGGAGATCATCTTCAAGCCAACTTAGGTCAAAATTTATTATATGGTCCTAGAGCTGTGGTTTGAGAGTTGTAGAAGATGTAAAATGGTCTATTAAGCTGCCGGAATATAAACATAAACATATGCATGAATAAGTTCAATTAATAAAAAGAAAAGGCCAAGGATGGGGTTTTTAGTCTTTTACAAAAAGTACTTTACTTTTTTAACTGCAGTCAGTGACAGTGATCTACCCTTGCCGTTAAGTTAGATGGAAAAGTTAACTTCTTCCAACTTCAAGGGGTAAAATGCCTAATTTGATACGT